TTTTTTTGTTTGTTTGTTTGTTTGCTTTGTGTTTTAATTGGAACATATGCTCAGCATTTGAACAGAAGCTAAAAGATAGTGATCAATGCAAAGGCATTGGATTTATTAAGTCTTTGGGGGGAGGAGCAACACTTTTTCTTTGACTCCTGCCTTTTCTATCTCATTCACTTGAGGGTAAAGGGAATGCTGACTCGGCCTTTTGGGAGAGATTTACAATGCAACTATAGCAGATGTTGAAGGATAGCTTTTGATTTAGTTCCCACACCCATCTTTTCCTAGAGCTCTTTTCCAATCCGAATTGTCACCTGAAACTACCTTATCCTGGTGCACCTGCCTAATCATAAATAACATTGTGCAAAAGCAGCCGCTAATTCAAACAGTCTGCTGCTGAGAAAAAGGCAGCTTTTCATCTGGTGCTTTAGTTGGATTGAAACCATTAGGCATGCCTTTCAAATCCATTCATCCTGTAAATCACCCGGAGCTGGCTTCCTTGCCGTTGGATCAATGTCAGGCAGAACTTTTTCAGGGTCCTTGGGAGAACATGATATATCTTTGTGACTGAATTAGCTGCCCCTGTAAGATACCTGGTCTGTCAACCAACTTTCCAGCTTCCCAAATTGATTTTTAAAAAGAACATTCATCTTGTCGACCTGGGTTGGATGTATCTTTTACTTCCCTCAGGGAAGTCTCCTGGCAGGACCCCTAATCTGCATGCTAATTTCAGTGTTGCTAAACTTCTAGCCCGATTTCTTATTTAAAAAAACCAAAAATTTGCTTTCCATTGTCTCATTATGTCCTCTCTATCCCAAAGGGCTGCTCCAGTAGAAGATGGGGGAAAGTCTATTGAAATATCTCTACCCAATCCAAAAGCAATGTCCTTTTTATAATACTCTCCAATTGGTATTGCCTAAAAATACAGTATTCCTTGATGTTGAAGGAGGAGTCTGGAATGTGATAGATCAAGGTCCCCTGCAGAGCCACCATGTTCTCCTCCTTTGAGCCAGAGTAGATAAATAACTAGATTCTGTACATGTGCCCTCACCTGGCATCTGAGCTCTCTGAAAGTATATGCATTTCTTATGGGGAGAGGTGTATGTTTTCCCCCCCAAAAAATTAAGAGCCACTGACCAAATAGACTATATTCTGAGTTCCCAGGAGCTGGTTTACAAATGAAATTTAATAAGGTGAGCATTACTTGGGAGATTAGCCTGCCCTCTGCCTCATTTCATTGGCAGTGATTTGAATAAAGCCAACAGCTTGTTCAAGTGTCAATCATAAAACCCCCCATCCCCCAAAGAAATGAACTACTTTGAAGTTTGACTTAATGGTTCAATGAATGACAGTTTTTAACTTTATGCTATCATACATTATAATTTCGGGAAAGAGTCTATTTTTCCTAAATAAGACCTTTGGCTAGCAGGTCCCCATGGATAGGTACATTGGGTTGGGCAAAATTTCCGCTACAGAAGAATGACAGACTGTGGAGAAGTTGATTTTGAGATTATGTTGGAAAGGATACAGAGAAGTACATTGAGAGTTCACCAGGAAATATTAATTGTGAGAGCTATAAAGAAGTTCGCTGCAGATAAGAAGTCAGAACTATAGTGACACTGAAAAAAAAAAAAGTAAGCTATGAGATAGGAGCCTTACACTTAGCCCTCTTCCACTTGGAAACCATTAGCAAATTGGTCCTAGAGTTGATAGTACCCAGGGGTAAATGGTTCTCTGGATCCTCATGTCCAGTACGTGGCTTTTATATCTGTCTTCTTAAACAAGAATGAAAGCAGTGTTTAATCTACTGAATCTGTTCACTTTCAGAAGCGAAGCAGGACTCAAAGTCCTAGATGTGAAATTTGAGTAATACTGAACAACAGTACTTGATGTGTGTGATACTTGGGAGGAAAAAAAAATGTAGTGTGTTTACTTCTTAGGTATTTAAAATACACTTCACAAACAGCACCTTCTGTACCATTCTGCTGACCTTTCCCCTTGTTTATCAAAGGCATCTGTTACCAGTACACTAGACAACGGATCTTCCCAGAAAATGTCCAGGCAGGCCACTTGTTGGACATTATCCAGAAGTGGGGGTGAATAGTGTGTGATGCATCATCTTTGTTTTGGTCATTTGTCTCACTAATTCTTTTTACTGGAAATCTAGAGAGTGCACACAGCAATTATTTCTGTATTTCATTGACTCTGAGATGCCATCCATTGTAAGATACTCTTGTATTTCATATATCACTAAGATAAGACTTAATTAAACATGTTTTCATATCACATGACTATTTATGTCCAACCCAGTTTCAAAGACACTAAAATATAAAGAAACGTATATTAGGGTCTCTGAAATCTTTATTTAGATGGGATTATGTTTTGATTGCAAATGTCAGTAGCTTCAACTCTTTTGTTGATAGTGTTGCTTTGTAAGAAGAGAACTTAATAGCCGTAATACATCTCTGGAGCCAGGATTTATGTAGAACATGTAAAATATATATAAATTGCTCTAATAGCCTATAATTTGGGGCAAAATGACAGGCTTTTCTTTTTATGGTTAAACGTTAGAAGTTCAAAGAAGACCACTTGCAGTGGAATGATATGGTGCAATAAATTTTGAACTTGACATCTGAAGACCTTGGTTTGAAGCCCTGTTCTTTCTGACCCTTATCTGATGTATAACCCCAGGCGAGTTATTATAGGTTTCCTGAATCTTAGCTTCTCATGCAGTCAAAACAGTGGGGATGCCTGCCAACAGGGTGGTTGTAGAATCCAAAAAGGCATCTGTAGGTGGTGAACTTTACACAGATGGAGGCTGTGGACATTCTCAAAGCCTTCCACACCATGCTTCTCGGGTGAGTGGCCTTGAAGGGGAATCGAAGTAAAGGACAGTGGGATTGGAGACCTTTTCTGCACACAGGATCCCATAGTAGAGGAATGCACAGCTGAGAAAGCGGCGAGGCCTAAGGAGTTGTAAGATGCTCTTTTGAATACATGGTGAGGTAAAAAATACGACCACTGTGCATAAAGAAGGGGCTGGAATCTCTTAGAATGGCTTGAATCTCAGTAACTGCTCTGTGCAAGTTCATCTATCAAGGTGGCTCATGGAAAATATTAAGTCAGCTGATTAGTGACAGAACTTTGGTCTAATTGGAAGGCAGAGTGACGTATTCTCTTCTTCAAATTGGTTTTTAAGTATAATAAGCTATAACCCCCATTAACCTACCCAACCTTGGTTTGGTTTTCATTGCTACTTATAGTATTTTTGTTGGGTGCCTGGTTGGAGGGGGTTTTCTAAGTGTTGAGATTTTGTACCTTTTCAGACACATTCTGGATGGGACACATTTCCAAGGGACACTAAAATAGCCTTTTGCTATTGCTCTCATAAGGCTTTAAGAAGAACTCTGCTAGAAGGAGAATTGGTAGTTTTATTAGAATTTCAGAAGGGGTAAGCAACGTTGGAAGTAATTTCCCAGATGAAGGACCTCTTGGAGTAGGGGTTGCATGACAAATGACCTTCCCAAATGTTCATGGCTGGTAAGCACCAGATTAGGACTTCACTAAGTCGGAGTTCTTGTCTAGATTGGAGGCTTTATCTGCTTAATGGAAGCCCACAACTGACGTGTGCAAGTCCTTGGTGGCTTTTGGTGCCGAGTGACACCTGACTGTTTTATGGGTTAATTTTTAATGTGAACAAACCGAAGGCAGCAAGATTTTTTGGATGCTACTTTCCCTAAATGCTGTTTTCACCTGCCAGCTCTTATCATGGATGTGGTTTTTTATTGTTTTTTTTTTTTTTTTTTTTTTTTGTGTGTGTGTGTGTGTGTGTGTGTGTGTGTGTGTGTGTTTCCACCACTATCCGTGGCCGCCTCCTGCCAGGTCCCGGCACACATTGTGAGGCTGTGGCCCATCCCCTGGAGTTGGAACAGATGCCCTGGCAGTGAGGGATGTGCCTTCTGAGGCAGGGCTCCACGCCTCTGCCCCATCCGGGTGCAGATGACTTTCAGCATCTTGAAAAGATGGATTAGCCCAGGTTGTGTCCTCCTGCAGCCTCTACACACCCTGTGCCTGTCCGCCCAAGGCTGGAGTTTGGCTTCCTCTCAGTTGTGCGATTTCTGACACCCTCAGTGTGGGCAGCTCCTGAATGCCTCCGTTGTCTAGATATGCTCCCAGAACAGGGCTCTGTTCTCAGGGCCAGAACTCTGCCCTTAGGAGCCTGAGTAATAGCCTACTAACCTCTGGCCTCTGCTGAGCACCTCTGACAAGGCTCTGTGAGCTGCACACACACGGGTGGGGAGGACTGGCTCTGTGCTCCTGTCCTCCACTCCAGGTGCCTTCTCAGCCTGCGTACTTACTGAGAACTCTGGCTCTCTGGAGCTCCTCACCCCGCAGGAATTTAACACAAAGGGGTGGAAATCAACAGCATCCCCATCTTCCAAGAGAAGCTCAGGAGTCAGCGTTCAGTCTCTTGACACACACCCACATCTATCTGTGAGCACACACACTGTGTGCTCTACTGTGCACCTTCATTCTAGCCTCTTTCACTGTTTCACTTTTTCACCTTTTGCTTCAGTTGCCTCCTAATCTATGCCCAGTGCTACTCTGATATTTCTTAAATGTTAGGTCATACTTCCTGATGCACCCTGAAGGCTTACACATTTCCTCCTTAGGATAACCCTTGCCCCATGGGGATAAAACAGTGACCAAATGTGAAGGGCTGATATCTAAGTGTGGCTGCCGGAAACTCGAATTTAAGTCCATACAATCCTTCGATCTAAGCATTTCATGGTATTTGATTGAATGAAATTGGCGCTAAAAAATAAGCACATACAGGCAACTCAAAGAGCAGTTTGCTTCTTGATCGAGTCCTGATGTTGTGTCAGGACCTAACCTGTTTTTTAAACTTCCTGTTCCTGCCTTACTGTGAAAGCTTGTTAAAACTTACTTTTCTTTTGGATTGTATATCGCTAACAATGTACTTTCTCCTTTATTTTGGTTTACTTTAGGAAAGCATGCCTCAGACGCCTCCCTTTTCAGCCATGTTTGACAGCAGTGGTTACAACCGAAACCTCTATCAGTCTGCAGAGGACAGCTGTGGGGGGTTGTATTACCATGACAACAACCTCCTCTCCGGATCTCTGGAAGCACTCATCCAGCATTTAGTACCTAACGTGGATTACTATCCGGATGTAGGTATCCATGTTCCTCTGAAATACAGCTTGGTTTCTACTTCAGCAGAAAGTATGAAATCATAGTCATGACCTTAGCTACTACAGAATTGTATCTGGGATGTTGAAGGTTTTTCTAATTATTAACTGCTTTGAGGTCAAAGTGAGCCTGGGGAAGATCCCAACTTTGGTTGTCTGCATATCAGTTTCTTCCCAGGGTTGGTACACCCACATTATAGATATTCAGATACCATCTATTCTTTTTTAAAATATATTTTATTGATTTTTTACAGCGAGGAAGGAAGAGGGATAGAGAGTTAGAAACATTGATCAGCTGCCTCCTGCACACCTTCTACTGGGGATGTGCCCACAACCTAGGTACATGCCCTTGACTGGAATCGAACTTGGGACCTTTCAGTCTGCAGGCTGATGCTCCATCCACTGAGCCAAACCAGTTAGGGCAGATACCATCTATTCTAAAGGAAGTATCTGCAGGTTTGATTCAGGCATGTGCCTTGGTCCTTAAAGAGAGATGCTGGAGAATATTGGATGCTCTCTGAATATTGAATGCCTTTGTGTTTTCAAGAGCATCACTGTACTGGGAAAAGTGAAGTCAGAACTTTCATTGCAAAGAGAACAAGTGTTATATTCAAGATGCAATTCTTTGTGATTGGACATCAGATGACATGATAGCTTATGTTTTGCTTTAATAATGGACATTTCTATAGATAATACTTTCTAATCTAGGCAATTCATTTACATTTGCTCAATCTTTACAGCAATTCCAAAAGCTAGAGAAGAGAAAACAAATTCAAAATTTGCACATGGTCTCACGCCTGGTATTAGTCAAATCTGGCTTTTCTAATTGTGGGGCAAGTGATATTCTGCCCTTTCTTGGTACTATAGCTGCCCCTGCCAACCAGCAGCTGGTTGTTGATAATAATTTTAGTTAGATTTATCTCTCTGGGCTGAATTTCATTCATTTTTTTTTTCTACGATGAGTTATATGCCCTGGTGTCCTGGCTCCCAGAGGATGGATTTGAAAATGAGTTGTGGATAATTTCCCTTGTACTTTTATTATTTTTAGTAGGTTTAAAGGAAAAGACACATGAGAAGATAAGGAGAAATTCATCTTGTGGTATTTTACTACTAGTAAGCATCATTTTTGAAACTGCAGCATTTAATTTTGATTGAGAGAACATAATGAAAAAAGATGTGTCATATGGAGGAAAAATAGCAGTTTCAGAAGGAATGTAACCATGAGATTTTTTTTTTTTACTCTTTCCACAGAGAACGTACATTTTTACCTTTCTACTCAGTTCTCGGTTATTTATGCATCCGTATGAGCTAATGGCCAAAGTTTGCCACTTATGTGTTGAGCACCAGAGACTAAATGACCCAAACAGCGATAAGGTAATTATATGTTTGAACTTTACACTTTTTTTCTATTAGGCTTGGTAACTCTGTGGCTTAGATTTTGTGAAACTGGTTTCCTTAAGTGACCCTAGCTCATCCCTAGGCTGAGGTGCATACATGGTATGGTTGCCATGCAAAGGGGATGGGGAATGGCATAATGAGCACAGTGCACATCTAATGCCAGGGGACATTCTGGATCCTGCCGGAAGTTGGTGGCACTTGGCATTGACTGGGAGAAGGAGGAACTGGAGCTTTACAACCACAAAGACTTTGCACTAGAAGTTTATCGGGGACACTATTTGTAATGATTTATTTGATGTGGTCCATGGTGGTAGCCATCACTGAATTAGATTTTGCTTTTTCTCCCTAGAACCAGATCAGAAAAATTGCACCCAAAATCCTTCAACTTCTGACAGAATGGACAGAAACGTTCCCTTATGATTTCCGGGATGAAAGGATGATGAGGAACTTAAAAGATCTGGCTCACCGAATAGCCAGTGGCGAGGAGGTGGGTACCCTGGCTTTAGCATGATTGGTTGCATCTCTGGGCAGAGCCTTGGTGAGGAATGATGCTGAATAAGGTATTGGAATCTCCACGGCTTCCTGTTTGTTTTTGTTTTACCTTTGAGCAAGTTCTCTCCATAGCATATTGGTCTGTTTGGGGTGTTAAGTGGGGATGATTATACAATCCCACTTCAAAGGGTATGATCTGCAGCTTTATGTGATTAATTTCAGGGTATGTTCATGTCAATTCATGTACAGGATTCCTATTGCAAGCGTGGGTGTTTTTTTTTTTGTCTCTTTTATTTATTTATTTTTATTCAATTTATTGGGATAACATTGGTTAATAGCATTATATAAGTTTCAGGGGTACACCTTTGTAGTACATCATCTGTTTATTCCACACTCACCACCAAAGGCTAAGTCTCCTTCCATCATCTTATATTTGACTCCCTTTATCCTCTTCGTCCTTCCCCTCCCCCTGCAGATGTTTTTAGTTTGACTGTACATATACATTTTCTCCTCCAAAAAGATTTGACATATTAAGATAGATACTAGCTATCATATTGGTAGACATACATACTAATAGATAGAAAACAACATATTAATATGATAACGGATAGAAGCAGTATATTAATAAAATAGAAATAGGGTTTGTGCCATGGGAATGAGAAAACAAATAGGCTATCGTTGAGACCAGTCCAGTAGGGCAGGTGTGCTGTGATTTGAGTGTAAGCTCCAAAGAAAAGGGAAATACAATTGGTTATGTAATTTTCACTGTCAGAAAAGAGAAAGCATTCTAATTTTTCAGGGCAATGAGTTAAATGATATTTAAAAAAAAACCAAAAAACATTTGTATGAGGGACTTTGTACAGGGGCCATAGAATGAGGTCAGGGAAACCACCACGTTTAGTGTTTATAACAAATGCTCCTGGATAAAAATGGAGACCATAAGATTAATGGGTAAATTAGCAAAGGTGATTCTTTGTGAGAGGAGAAGAGAAAGAGAAGGATCCAAGGCACCGGGAAGTTGATTCAAGGCTAGCACTTACAATAGGTGGAGATGGAGAGTAAGCCTCTTAGAAAATCTCTCATAAATATCACTTCCCTCAGGTGAGCCTTTGATAAGAACTAACTAGCTGTGACAAATTCAAGGTTATCCTCTTTGAAACAGGCCCGGAGGATTGGTATTCTGTGTTGGGGCTTGTTGGGCAAAGATGTCTTTGTAGTTTCTCTGTGGCTGGTGAGCTCCTGGGAACAAGTTACTTAGGCACAGATACAACATTTTCACAGAGAAGGGGATAGATGAAGTTCTTGGCTGCTGTAGTGATGTCTTGTTTCTTTCATCTTACAATGCATTTCCCATTTACAGTAACCTTCCATGAGAATTCAATCTTTCACTGGTGTGCTATAAAGATCATGCAATGAGACACTGTATCTCTTTTATGTCTTGTGAACATGTTTTAAGATCATTTCCCCTGACTTATAAAAAATAAGAATACAATTTTATAAAATAAGCTATTGAAAAATTTGTACTTGCTTTCCAACATTATGTTCTCCTAAAAACAGAATTAACCCTTCTACTCTTTCCTTATGACATACTGACTCTGGTGCTGAAGACAGCATTGTTTCCATAAGACTGAATGAGGGGTCTCCTGAATCATTTTGCAGGTTATGTCTGTTATAGTCATTTTTCTTTCTTTCTTTTTTTTTTAAAAAAAAAACAACAACACATATTTTATTGATATTTTACAGAGAGGAGGAAGGGAGAGAGCTAGAGAGCTAGAAATGTCGATGAGAGAGAAACATCGACCAGCTGCCTCCTGCACACCCCCTACCGGGGATGTGCCCGCAACCAATGTACATGCCCTTGACCGGAATCGAACCTGGGACCTTTCAGTCCGCAGACCGACGCTCTACCACTGAGCCAAACCGGTTTCGGCTCTGTTATAGTCATTTTTCCAGTATGTGTGACATGTTTGAGCTGAGTACGCATTGGTAAGTCCCTCACTCACAAAGGCACACATTAAGCATCACAGTTCACTTTTGTAGTGAATGTTTGACTAGAGGCTTGGCTGTTGGGTTGCTTGGCAGGGTTGGTGCAAGCTCAGTGACTTGATTATGACAAGCTGCTCAGAAGGTTAGTGACTTCATAGGAAATTCTTTCTTGTATGAAGGCTGAGCCCTGAGTCCGTCAGTGTTTCCTTCTGGTTACATGGTGTTTTGAGTTCTTGATATGGCAGTATCTTGATATGGCTGAAATGATGACTTGGTCGTTTCCAAAAGGAACACTGTTTTCTAATCAACACTAAAGAAAATGAGTGGTTTGAAAATGCCAAATGGATGGCTTTTTGTCCTTCTTGTCATGGGAGAGAAGGAAGTAGTTTCTATCTGTGTTGGCTAGGTGGATCATATTTTAAACAAAATCAAGCCACTTTGGGGTTGGATGAAACTGTGCAAAGGGCAAACAGCCCTCTGTCCTGGCTTCTTACCAGCATTTCTGTGTTAATAACAAATCCTTGATAAACCTTTAGACTTGCAGATACTCAGGAGTGTGAAAAGAGATGAGAACATAAGCCAAGTCTACAAAGAATTGATTAACCTTGGTGGTGAGCGGAGAGATGGTCAGGTCAGGTTTATAGTGAGATTTGTTCCCTCTGTTGCTGTCCAGCATTCAGAATGGGATCCATACTTGACAGCTGCATGTGCTTTGGCAAGTCCATAAATTTCTTGCTCCTTCTTCATTTCTATAAATCATAGAGGTGACTGTCCTGTTAATATCCCTTTCAGCTCTAAAATTTTGGGATGGATGCTCTTTCCTCAGTTCTTTGCTTGGCACACCACTTACCTGTGATGTGTTTAGAGTCCCCACAACCACAACCACCCTCCCTCCAATATTGGCTATCAGTGTTTTGTTTTTTTCCAAGCAGAATGAATGAACAAATGAACGACTTGTTTCTTATTCAATTACTGGAATAGGAAAAGAATATTTCTCTCCACAGAAAAATTATTTCCCTCCACGGGAAAGAGCGTGGGCTGAGACTTGTTGCTTCTTGCCTGGGACTTTACAGATTTTTTTGGCAGTCAATGAATCCAGGTGTGCCCCATATATACTTTAGTCATATTTTTTTTAATCTGCTAGGACAGTTCCACATAATTTGGCTTAATATGTTTCCCCCTTGGGGATTTGCCCAAAATAAAGTGGTTTATTAAGACTTGCCTGCAAGAAACATGAAGCCAATGAGTGAATTGCATGACAAATGACTATCGTGGGTAGAATGCAGTTTTCTCTTTCTTCAGGAGCCGGTCGTTATTCTATCTTTATTTGCCAGGTAATTACTGTAACTGGCGTTTGAAGTTATAAAAAAGAATAAATACATATTTAGCAATTCATGACTCAGTAAGAAAGCATGCTTAACAACACAAAGCTTGGTTTCTAAAGGAATCAAATGGCAAAAGGAAACTTTTAAAGAGGTCATGCACATATATATGTGCTTTCTGTCTCCCAATATCTCTCTCCTACTTGCACATGCACACACTCACATAAAGAGACTAGTTCTTTGTTACTTAAATAGCTTTCTCTCCCATACGCTATTGTATACGTTTTCCTCTTATGCTTTGTTGTTTTTGCTCATTAGCTGAATCCCTGACTGTAAATTCCACTACCTCTTCCCTAAGAAAGCATTCCCTGAAATGTAGAGTAAGAATCTTTCACCAGCTATGCTAGTGGAGCATTGGTTTTCACACTTTGCTGAATATCAGAATCACCTAGGGAGTATGTATTATGACATTTGAAACAGAAGACTGAAGAAATCATTTTAAGTTCATAAACTTTTGTTGTAACTCAATTTTGAAAGAAGAGGCAAGGGAATAGGGAAAAGGGGTTTATTTTTATTGAGGTACAATTGCCATACAACATTATATTATTTTCAGGTATACAACATAATGATCTAATATTAGTCTGTATTATGAAATGATCACCACAGTAAGTCTATCCAATATTCAGAATCATCACCATACATAGTTACGACATTTTTTTTCCTTGTGATAACTTTCCAAGATCTACTCTCTTAGCAACTTTCAAATATATGAAACAAGATTATTAATTATAGTCACCATGCTATACATTATATCCCCAGGACTTATTTATTTTATAACTAGAAATTGATACCTTTTGACCCTCCTCTCATTTTCTGCTCCCTTCCTAACTCCTCAGCCCCCCAATGCAAGATTTGGAATACCTCTTGACTCAGCTTTGAACTGCTTTAAATTTCAAAGCAAGATGTTTTCTGTGTGTGACAAGCATCATAGATAGATAGATAGATAGATAGATAGATAGATAGATAGCATCTTCAAAATGGGTCATCTTAATCCTATGGAGAAGATAGATTTTCAAAAGTTCAGTTTTTTTAAACACTTCGTCATTTCATTATTGATTTTAGGATGGTCTTGAATGTTGAGAGAAAAGAGGGTCATCTAATGGACAGTTTAAAGAACTTAGTGGAATATATACCAGATAAATTGAGGAGAAGAAAAAAAGGGGGTGGGGGGTTCTGTGTAGGCCTTTTTGCCTTGACTATGTGAGAACTGATCATTTCCAGATGTGGTTTTCCTTGGCTTCAGTATGCAAATATCTATTCATTTGAGTTTTTGTAATATGCTCTGGTAACAAAATTACCTCTGTAAAATAATATGGTTCTTATACTTGTAGGTAAGATGCCATTTAATTTTCAGATAACTAATCTCAATAAATGATTTTGTGGCAAACATTTAGAAAGGAGCTGATTAGGCAGTGAGATGTAAACAGGCCCTTTCTGTCCGTCAGTTCACTGGGACTCCCTGTTGGAGCTGTCAACCTAAGGACCGTGCTGGCATTGAACTGGCCAGAGTGCCATGCTCCTATACGGCCTCATAATTTCTCATGAAGGATAATTGTTTGTTTGGCAATTTGGGGCTAGAAAAGGAAGATTGACATTTATTGATTCTATATGCATTGCTGTAAAAAACAGTCTCTTTTATGTGTTGTAAAATGCAGTAGCGAAACAGGTGGCAGATGGTAGTAGCATTATGGGGATCATCGACATGTGAAAGCGTAAGGTTGTGAACTTGAGCACTGACTCCTGAGTACAAAAGAAATGAACATGAGCCAAGTGGAGGTCAGGTAGATATATGAATATCCACTGCTTCTTTGTGTTGCCCATATTATGTGTGGAAGCCAGGAAGGTGATTGAGAGGTGAGTGGAAGTATGGGTATATTTCTGTCAAGTAGCTGTTCATGCCTTTGACTAATGAGATTAAATGTTAGGAGTGGGGAAATCATGTAGGTGGCTCAAAATAAGAAGTGTTAGGAGAAGGATGCTCTGACTCGAGATCCAAGAATTTTAACACACCAAAATTAAACCAGGACATTCCTATGCAACCCAGAGAACATTTAGTTATACATGGCGCTTAGTACACTGGGTTTCTTCTATAGGTAATCTCAAACATCACTGCCGTGTTTTCTTGGTCCAGTCTACTCTCAAGAGCAGCCCGATTAAAGAACTAAATCTTACAAGCCTGAAAAGATAGCCCTTGTGTATTTGTCTCTTTTAAGTTGTTAGAGTTTGGCTGGATTCTCCCTCTCTGGGCCAATAAATCATTTAAGTATATAGTCTGTGAGTGTTCATAGTGGTGAAACAGACATGCAGAGCAAGGACGTAACCAGGTGCTTCTTCCCTTGGCAGACATATAGGAAGAACGTCCAGCAGATGATCCAATGTCTAATCCGCAAGCTTGCTGCCCTCAGCCAGTACGAGGAAGTCCTGGCGAAAATCAGCTCCACATCTACAGACCGGCTCACAGTTATCAGGACGAAGCCACAGTCCATACAGAGGGACATCATCACTGTCTGCAGTGACCCTTACACGCTGGCCCAGCAGCTGACTCACATAGAGCTGGTAAGGTTATTGTCATCCTGCTCTCCGTGGCCACATACTTGGTTTGCTGTGGCAACCAGTGCGTGTGTGTCAGCAGCAATGTCACAGGAGAGGTTAGAACAGTCCTAATGGAAACTAAACTATGAAATAGCTGGACTGGGTTTTGTTTAGACATTTGAATATGAATGTTCCTGGTATTCTGGGAATTCACTTTAAAATAAATAATCAGTAAAGACTGGAAGAGCAAAGAGTTTACTGACCTCCCTCCTCTTGCCCCTCTAATTAATTTTCCTGTAACTTGTTCAGCCTTTTGCTATCTAGTGTGGCATTGACTCAAGCAGAAAATCGCCTCTGCTTAGGGTTAAAGGCTCATTTTACACGCTGCATAAAAAAATGGGGGTAGTGCCAAAAGTCAATAGATAGTTGAAAGTCCATTTCTTCTAGTTTTTAAATTTTTTTTTAATCTTGCTGACCTGCTGGGTTTGTGTTCCAGGAAAGGCTCAATTACATCGGACCAGAAGAATTTGTTCAGGCATTTGTGCAGAAGGACCCTTTGGACAATGACAAGGTAATCAGTCCACCCAGAGGTCAGCCCTGAAATCAGAAATGGAATCCCTTAGCCTGTGGTAGTGGGTATAGGAGACAAAAATTGGAACTATTTTGCTTTAGGTTTTAAAAATCGAAAGTTTTCTTTCATTAGCCTTGTCTGGATTCATTGCAGTTTTCTTGAGTCAGGTGTCCAAGTGCCATTACAGCATTCTTACCCTATCACCAACTTTGAGCCTCTTGTTTAAAAATATATATATTTTATTGATTTTTTACAGAGAGAGAGAATAAGAAACATTGATGAGAGAGAAACATTGATTCAGCTGCCTCCTGCATACCCGCTACTGGGGATGTGCCCGCAACCAAGGTTCACGCCCTTGACCAGAATCGAACCTGGGACCCTTGAATCTGCAGGCCAACACTCTATCCACTGAGCCAAACCAGCCAGGGCTGAGCCTCTTTTTGCTCCTTATTGGGAAGTTTAGTAAGCAAGTGAACGCAGGTATGTGTGGTGATGAAGTTAGGAGATACCAGAGAAATGGATTTAGCAGATTAAGTGAAAAAGAAAATACTCTGCTCATGACTCATCAATCGTAGGGGCAGGAAAGACAGGATAGGATGCACATCCAGGCTGCTGAGCAAGGGTGTTTACTGCCTGGCCTCTTGCTTCAGGGTGAATCCCTCAGGAATATTTATGGCCTGAGTGAAGCCCACACATAAGGAAAACAATACTGGGCATGGACCGTAAACTCAGTGTACACACATAAGGAATTTCCCCCCAGTGACCTCCAGAAACATTTCACATTTTTAGGCAAAGTCTGGATCACCAGCTAATGACACTCTCCTTTGGGAGTCTGGGCAACAGCTGTGTTTCTGCCTTAGACTAGTTTCCTGCAGTACGGGAAGTGAAGATTAGGTTTTGCAATCAATAGATGGCTAGTGGGCTTTTCTGGGTATTTGTTTCTTTTGGGAGGAAGGACAGAAGGGTGCAATTAACCTGTACAAGCTCGGCTTTGAACTCCGAGATGAGCTTAACTCCTTTGGTTTCTGAACACTGTGTTACTCACCCTCCTAAGGACCATGATGGTGTAGCCTTCCATTTATCTACCTCGAAAGATACTTAGTTTCTTGCTACATGATGCTCCAAAATTTTGTCCTAGACTCAGGTTTTAGAACAAACTGGCTCGTATCTGGAACTCTCAGCTTCTCCTCGTGGCTGCGTTGGTAGCAATTGATATTCACACCCTATGCATCAGGCAAGATGGTCTTAGATTGCAGCCAAACCCTTCTTTTGACTTGTGTTTTGGGGGACAGTTCCCACCCAGAGTAACTTGGTTTCTTGGAAGGGAAGGGCACCATAACAAATGCATCCGAGTACATTTCTAACCTTAGGGGTTTTGCTGGACTGTATAAACTGAGACATTCTGACACGTCTATAAAGATAGTCAAGAATGTTAGTGTCTCTGTCTTTCTGCAGCTCTTTATGTCTCTTTTCCTATAAAGCTTTCCTAATCCATAAACTGAGGTTAAAGTCCCACATATGACAAAAATTAGTGCCTCTTTTTTCCCTCCTCCAACTCATCTGCTCATTTCTCTTTCCTTTAGAGTTGCTACAGTGAACGGAAGAAAACACGGAATTTGGAGGCTTACGTGGAATGGTTCAATCGCCTCAGCTACTTGGTTGCAACGGAAATCTGCATGGTGAGAAAATGAATTTTCTCTGTCTCCTGGCTCTCTGTATTATTTTCCCATAGTTATTTTATATCTGTGGGGCCTGGATGTTGGATAACTTTCCTTGTGTTGCTCTTCCTATATAGCCAGTGAAGAAGAAGCACCGGGCACGGATGATTGAGTACTTCATTGACGTCGCTCGGGAGTGTTTCAACATCGGCAACTTTAATTCCTTAATGGCAATAATCTGTGAGTGTTTTCTGGAAGATGCATGTCCTTTAATTCTTTGTAAATCTTTATTTTTGGAAGTATTACATATGTCCCTCCCCGCCCCCCATTGTCTTCTCCCACCTCCTTTATTTTTATAGGTTCTGTGAAATGTATCCCCTGAAAATTTGCAAATAATACAGTTTAATGAAAACTGTACTCTTTAATACTGAATTGTTTCAGAGTGTTCAGAATGCTTTAAATACCCAAATTGATACAAGTATGAATAATCTTTTATAAGTACACTAGAATTCATGAAATACATTTAGCCACTTTATCCTCATTGGAGTATTTACCTATAAAAGCTTACAAGTGAGATATTTGAGCTGGGGGAAGGAAGGCCTACTCTTGCACAAATTTTGTGCATCGGGCCTTTACTGATATGTCCATGGTCTAGGTAATAGATGATGACCTAATTTTAAGTATATAAGAATTCATGGAATATCGATATGTTCAGTATTTATTTTTCCTCCTGTACCATTAGGAAAATGTTAAGACAAACTACATCATGGGAGAAAATATTTATCATATTTATGGTTGTAAAGAACTTGTATCTAGAATCTATAAAGAACCCTACTAATCAAAAACAACCCAGAAAAAGAAGTGCAAAATATTTGAGCACTTCACAAAAGGAGACATACTAGTGGATAATAAGTATATGAAAAAGGTGTTCCACGCCATTCATTATCAGAGAAATACAAATTAAAATCACAGTGAAGTACCACTTCACATACTAGAATGACTAAAGTTCAAAAGATTGTTGCATCAAAAATTGGTGAGGAGCCGAAACCAGTTTGGCTCAATGGATAGAGCATTGTCCTGTGGTCTGAAAAGTCCCAGGTTGTATTCTGGTCAAGGTCATGTACCTTGGTTGTGGGCACATTCCCAGTAAAGGGTTTGCAGGAGGCAGCTGATGTTTCTCTCTCATTGATGTTTCTAACTCTCTGTCCCTTTCCCTTCCTCTCTGTAAAAAATCAAATATATATATATATATATATATATATATATATATATATATATATATATATTGGTGAGGATGTGGAACACGTGGAACTCATGGAATTCTCAGACATTCTTGGTGGGAGTGTAAAATGGTATTACTACTTTGCAAAACTGTTTGGCAGTATTTTGTAATGTTTAACTTATGCTTAGTAGTGAACCCTTTTCCAGAGTATAAGTTAGAATGGCTTTTCTTACGTCTCTCTTTCAACTTTCTTCCCTCCGCCCCATTTTAAATGCGAAGCTGGCATGAATATGAGCCCCGTGTCCCGACTAAAGAAAACCTGGGCCAAAGTGAAGACGGCGAAGTTTGACGTTCTCGAGGTATGTGCAGCTGATATTTCACTCCTAAGTAACATTCTGTACCTGGACAGTGGAATTCCTCTGTGTGATCTTGCCTTTTGATCAGATAGTTCCACACAGAAAAAAAAACCCAACTTCCAGGCCCAGGGAGAGGAAAGGAAGTAGAATTGGAGGAGGGGGGATAATCAGCTTGTAGCTAGACCTTTCATAGAGAGGACCGAAGAAATGTTGACCTGTCAGTCACATCGCATTGTATGCCAGGATGGAATTTGGATCCAAAACAGTCTGGAGTTCTACTTCAGAGTGTGTCTACTAACGTATTTATTCACAGGGTCCCAAGGGAGGCATTCCCCATCCCCACAGAAATAGTCATTCTCCATCCTTCCAACAAATTTAGCTAACCTGTGAAAAAGTCCTTCCCATATAGTTCTCAGTAAGACTTATACCATATTGCTTTGGCATATTGGTACTTTGAATGCACTGTTTTTGGAGACATTAATAAGTATTTCCCCCCCAACTTGGGGATTAGCATTGGGTTTGTTATATTTTCTTTATTCATATTGTATACTAAACTTCCTCCTTGAAAGGTAGTATGCCTCAATTGTTTGTGAATGGTCTATTACCTACAACAAAACACAAGTTTACACTGAAGTGTTGAGTCACTGTATGATGGCTGACCATCATCTGACACACTAACCTTCAAATGAAACTGGGAAATGGTTTCTCATGTTGGCATTTGACTCCTTGTTATCAATTTGAAGTCTAATCTCAGCAGTTAACCTGGAAAGAATTTGGTCTGGGTTTAACATTATGAAAGCTGACATAGACCTTGTATAAATAAACCAAATCTCGGAAAAGAAAACCTTTGTGTTATGTGTTTCATGCCTATGTGTGTGTATAAGAGAGGTAGATGACATTCTTAAGTGGTTCCCTAGTTATTTTGGATTTTTTGTGTAGAGTTAAAAAAGGATGATCTCAGATGATCGCAGGGAGAAGTAAGTAGCTCACACTCTTCTCTCTCTTGTCCATAGCATCAGATGGACCCTTCCAGTAATTTCTGTAACTATCGAACGGCTCTTCGTGGGGCAGCGCAAAGGTCTTTAACTGCTCACAGCAGCAGAGAGAAGGTATGTGGTTACAGGCATTCTAGTCATGGTAGAGTTGCCATGTATTGCACTGAAACGCAATGTGAACTGTTAGGCTAAGCTGCTTTTACCTGCTCAAATCTAAGAAAGCTGATACACGGTGGAAATTCTATCGCTCGCCTCATAGGGAAGGGGAGTGAGTGCTAAAGGAAAGTTGGACTGCAGAAAGGGAAAGAGTAACTTGGTGTGGAATTTTACAAATGTATATCACCGTGTTATTATTGTGTACTTATTTTATATAATGATTATTTTATAATGTGTCTTGGTTGCATTTCAAGCAATCTTGTAAGTCATGTTAAGATGACTTATAGGATTAGAGAGTAATTTGATTGAATGGGAAATACATGTTAAAGCTCTGCACAAGGTAGCTCACTTACTGTGACCTTTTCAAAGAACCGGCTTACCTCCCATGGTTAAGTCATTTATTTTCAAAAAGTAGGTTAGTGGCTGTAGCATTAGGCTTGCTATTACTCATTGGATATGTGGGTGGCAGAAAAAGTACAGAATGATGTTTGAGAAATTAAAGATTGTTACTGTGTCTACCCTGCCCTTAAATAGTGGCCTACTATCCTGGGTTCATCAGACTCTTGACTCTGAGGGTCCTTTCTTGGCACATTTCAGTGTTATGTCTCCTTTCCTGGGAGGGATAAGCTGGTTGGACATTTGGATTTCATGTTATCTGAGGAGTAGAGACCTGCTTGTGGGAAAGGGCTAATGAAGGAGGCTTGATGAAAGTTATTTTTTTAAAAATATATATTTTATTGATTTTGCACAGAGAGGAAGGGAGAGAGATAGAGAGCTAGAAACATCAATGAGAGAGAGTCATCGATCAGCTGCCTCTTGCACACCCCCTACTGGGGATATGCCCGCAACCAAGGTACATGCCCTTGACCGGAATCGAACCCGGGACCCTTCAGTCCCCAAGCCGACGCTCTATCCATTGAGCCAAACCGGTCCCCCGGCAGAAAGTTATTATATTTTCTGTATAGATTCTGTCTTTTACCTTACACTATATCTTCAACTAATAGAAGAAAACAAAGGTAAAAAATAGTTAAGGGCTTTCCCCCAGAAAGCTTCAGCCTCTGTGATCTAAAATAAAAACAAATGCAAAAATAGCTCCCTATTTTAAGAAGGCTGCATTGAACCTCCACAAAATCTGAAATAGCAATTCTGGTCATGTGGGAGAGGTTTTATAAATGCGTTAACTTTGCTTTAAATAAATAAATCAGGCCAGAGGAAGGATGAAGCAGAATTCGCTTTCTCTAAATCAGCCCCATGGAGTTCACCAGCTTTTCAGTTTCACCTGCCCACATCCCCGGGCTCCTGTGACTAGATTGAGACGAGATCTAATCAGAAGCTTTTCAAGCTTTCGAAAATGAGCACGTGCCTGGGAATGTCCCGGCACCCTGAAGCTTGAGGATGTGTCGGAGGCTGTCCGCAGCCTCTCCCTTGCCTTTGAGCTTCTGCGTGCTGGACTCAGGACTCCCTCTGCCTGTCTGCATGGCCCTCACCGAGAGCTTGGTGGGCTCCCCCTCAGGGAGGCGGCCACAGAATCATCTCTCTTCGCAGGAAGCTGTGGCAGTGGCAGAATAATTTTCATTAAATATTATACTTGTGAGCCTCTAATAGCTTTTTCTAGGAGAAAAACAACAACAAAACACCTTCACCAAAGAATGTATCTTTTACATAATTTAATAAATGCTTAGTTTTGTTGATTTTTATAACCAATTGTGTGAGCATGCGAATTGTCTTCTCTACTTCATAAAACAAATGAAATCACCTCCATTAAAACACACATACATGCTGTTTCTCTTTCAGAATTTGTCTCAAAGGCTGTGAATATAAACATTTCTAGATAAAAAATCTATCTTTTATTCAAGAGACTTGGGATTCTTTTCCATTTTTGAAGTGAAGGTGAACTCTCTTATGCCATTTTAAAACCTTCCTGGCCGCATGATTAGAGTACTAGAATCTTTAGTGTCCTTTCAGACCTGAGTTCATGCGGCCAAAGTGACATCTCTAACACCAGATCAAATCTGTCTTCCACACAGGGGCCTTCAATGGCCTTCCAGTTTGTTGTTGTTGTGTTTTTATGGGAACATGTGTCTCCATGTCTTTAACCATTCTTGACTTGCTTGCATGTTTATAACTCCTTTTGCCATCCTTCTTGTGTTCCTGGGAACTTGTTTGTACTCATCAGCCTTCATTTCTAGCTGTGGAATTGATTATGTCTTTAAGGTGTAAGGGCTGGATCTCTTAATGGAGCACATTTTGAGAGCGAATTGGAAGACATTATTTTTTTGAGACATTCTCCCATGAAAGACATCATTGGCAAAGCCTCCTAGAAACCAGACTTTTGCTCACTCCTGTTAGTAACCCGTGCATTCACCTTAGCTCAGGGAAATTCACTGTCCTTGGACTTTGATGATTTTTCCTATGTTGGATTTAGATAGGGACGAGAGAGCTAAAGGGAACTATCCATGAGTGAATGAGAAGTTGAAGAAGACTTTTTCTTGTAGAAGGGCCTAAGGAACAGAGCAGGGAAGTATCTCAGGAAGATTACTTATATTTCTACTACAGGCCAATGCATGCAATTAATGCGGGCGGGGAAGGTCGCTTAGCCTGGCCTTCACCCTCTCAGTCTAGGAGCCCTCTCTCCTTATTACCCGCCTGCTCGCTGCTCCTTACCTCTCGGCTCACTGCTCCTGAGTGCTGCCGCAGAGTCAGGAGAGGCTCCCGTCACCATCACTGCCCTCCCCTCGCCAGCAGTGAGCCTGGCTTCTGGCTGAGTAGCACTCCCCCTGTGGGAGCACATTTGGCCATTAGGGGGCAGCTCCTGCATTGAGCATCTGCCCCCTGGTGGTCAGTTTGCATCATAGCGACCGGTTGTTCTGGTCGTTTCACCGAAACAGTCGCTTAGAATTTTATTATATAGATTTTCTGGAAGAGTGATTCAGTCAGTAGAGGAACATCATACAGACACCATGAATGCAAAAACTACATAAGGTGTAGCCTTGGCCACTCAACAAGAGGCACGTGACATGAACTTATGAAAAATTTAGCTATCACTAAGAGACATAAGTCATCAGCACCCCCTGGCTCTCACGGCCCAGTGCTGCAGAATAGAGCACAGAAATAGAGTTCTTGCTCAAAAGCGTTGCACTGTGTAAATATTGCACCTCAATTATAATAGTACTTCATTTCCTGGTAGCTGCCTTATGATGACATATTCTTACTACCTTTTAAGTGCATCAGTAATGTATCTGTCCCTTTGTATGGGGCCCATTGGTTTTTTTTGGCTGCTGCAGTGTAGTAAAACCTGTATTATTTTATTTAATCCACAACTCAAGGAGGTAGTTGCTGCTGTTTTCATTTTAAGGCGAGGACACGAGGCTTACTCAGTATGTTAGGCTTTTCCAGGGGTTGGCAAACATTTTCCATTAAGGAGCAGATCATAAACATTTTAGGCTATGTGGGCTGTACCTTTTCTGTTGCAGCTACTCAACTCTGACATGGTAGCACAAAAGCAGGCATAGACGTGTGGATGAATGAGCATGGCTGTTCTCCAGTAAAGCTCTATGGCTACTGTAATCAGGATTTCGTATCATTTTCATGCTCATGAAATATTATTCATTTGATGTTTTTCCAGCCATTTAAAACTGTAAAGCAGGTGGCTCTTGAGCTATCCCCAAACAGGTGGTGGGCTGGGGCTGGGCCTTGGGCCACAGTGGGCAGACCCTACCTCATGTTGCCAGTAAATTGTGAAGCCAGATTTTAAACTGATGTTTGGCAGAGACCTGAGCCCAATGCTTCCTCGTCACAAGTGGTCTTTCCAAGAAACGAGGTTCAGCTGTGCTTTTATCATTGGTACTATGCCTGCTGAATAACAAAATTAACAGAAACAGCACCATTTGAAAGAAGAGGAGGGTCTTTAATAATTCAGTTTAAGAGATTTCCACCACAGACAATAGCAAATGATTAAAAGTATACTCAAAGAGGCTGTCAGGACCGAGATTCACTTTGAAACAGTGAATTTTCAGAGATAAATGAAACAAAAAATAATCAAAGTTATGTAATGACTTTAGGGGAAAACCTGAATTTATCTCTAGGAGTGGAAGTGGATATTTCATATGTTGGGGCATGAGCCAAAATGTGTGTTTCACAGACCTCCCATTTATTTAATCAAGGTGTATCCCATGAGTAATCAGCTTAGGGAAACTTAAAAAACTCGCTCTTGGGTAAACAACGTATGCCCACAATTAGTGTGTGGAGCACTGTTTGCATTGCAGCAACTTTAGAATCTTTAAAATCACATTGGTATTTGAGAGAAAGTGGAAGTTACTGTGCCCGAGCTTTGTTCTCCCTTCATTAGGGGTGTAGTAGGATTTAGGGCACTCTTAGAGATAATTATTACTTTAAGTTAGTTAGTTAAATGCCACTCATCAAACTAAAGATGAGAGGCAGGCGAGCCTTACTAAAGAAGGCTCAGTGTTCTTTAAGTAACCATTAATTTTAATGTGTACATTTATATTCCTCCTTCACTTGGGCTCATCTCACAACATATTGTGTAAAGCACTTCCTTGGTGATTTCCCGGGAAAGCAGGTGCGAACTTGTTCTGTTATCCGAAGGCCAGGTTTACTCCATAGGAAGTTTGTACTAACTAATACTAAAACCCTGAGCGCTCACATCACCTTGAGCAATGTCTTCTAGAGTAAAATGAAGTGTTCATCTGAAAAAATCCATCTAAAATGTAGAATCTAAATGATGTAACAGTTAAGATTCTAGCAGGAAGATAGGTCATACCTCTTGAAGTGTTGGTACCTGCAATGACAGGTATTCTATGAATAATTTGCTAAATGAAAAGCAAATTATTTTAGATCTTTTTTCTTTGATTATAGTTAGAATGGTCAGATGTTGCAATATACTATTGCCTTGAGAAAAATAGGAAAACGAGGGGAATGACATGAAGCCATCCGCTTCCCAGTGCTATTCGTCTTTACTATGGTTTGGTTAGTAAGAGCATTTGTGTCTTCAGCAAAATTGTGTAAGTAAGGAAACTCCTGTCATGGGAGGTAGACAAAACACTATCTTAATTCACCCAAGCCTTTTACATAATCCAGAGTTAATGTTCATTAATTTCTTGTATTGTTAGATGAGAGGCGGAAAAGTTTTATTTGCCCAAAACAAACCAGAAACTCTTTTTGCTTTCTTTAGATTGTGATCCCATTCTTCAGTCTTTTAATCAAAGATATTTACTTCCTCAACGAGGGCTGTGCCAACCGCCTTCCAAATGGCCACGTCAACTTTGAAGTAAGTGTACAGATCTGAGCAGAGGGAGGGCAGACTTCTCTAGCATTGCACCTCGGGCCAGGCAGCCGAAGCTGATTCTGAAGTGCTAAGCATTGAATAAATGGTTACCTATAGCAGGGGTGGGATACATTCGGCCCTCAGGTCCTATAAGACCCGAAAAATCATTTTGTCTGGCCCTACTAAGGCATTAGGGGTGAGTTAATTAAATGTTTGACCATATATTGATATACCAGGCTGACTTTTAAGTTGATAATTTTGTACGGCCCAGGAATGATGTTATACATATCCAAATGACCCTTGGCAGAAAAAAAAAGGTTCTCCATCCCTGAATACTTAGCAGATAACCTAGACCTAAATTTTATTAAATTAAGAAAATGATGTAGTCCAGAAGATTAGAAAGCAGAGAAAAACATTAAATGGAATTGGATCTTCGGAGCTTATGCTTTGTGATGACTGCTTTTAAATTCTTCGATTCTTTTCTAGAAATTTTGGGAACTGGCCAAACAAGTGAGTGAATTCATGACGTGGAAACAAGTGGAATGTCCCTTTGAGAGGGACCGGAAGATCTTGCAGTATCTGCTCACAGTGCCAGTCTTCAGTGAAGACTGTGAGTAGGCCATTCAGCTGTGCTGCCTTCCATGTCCCCAGACCCTACTGTTGGGAAATTAGGGTATAAATGCCGGTGTCTGGTTCTTCATATAGTATGAGGCCTGTCTTCTGACCTATTCAGTCTTTTAAAAAGCACAGAAAACTATAGGATTTATCTCTAGCATATTTTCCACACGCTCACTTATATTCATCCACAAAGAGTATGTTTCTGAGTTTAAACTTCTTCCTAATAATAGATCTGCAGAGGTTTGGGCATCAATAGAGAGTTTCCAAAGGATTTTTCTACCCTTGTTTGGGCTTGCTTCAGTGGGGAAAGATGTTTTGTGATACAGTAATATTCAAGTTAATCTGAATAAAAAAAATAACTTATTGCTATCCCCTGCTGTTTGAAAAAGTAGTAGAAGTCCTTTAGGGAATTTGAGGCAGATATAAAGTGATTGATGATATACAGAAAAAATTGGCCAAAAGAGAGCTAAGGTTTATAAAAGACTTGTGGATTTATTCTATTGATTTTTTTAGATCCTAATATTACAGAAATCAATAGCACCTATTTACTGATAATACCCTATGGTAGATGCATAGTATTCATGATAATGTATGAAGAACATTTTAGAATGAATATGATCACTCTAGAGGGGACTTGATTATTTTAAAACTCTACATAAGATTGATAACAAGCTTTTAAAACTTTGATTGAAGATGCTTTTTGATTTAAAATATATATAAATAATATCAGGAGGATGGAAAATTAGCCTTAAAAATCAGGCTTATTACCAAACTATTTTTTTAAAATATATTTTATTGATTTTTTACAGAGAGAAAGGGAGAGAGATAGAGAGCTAGAAACATCTCGAGAAACATCGACCAGCTGCCTCTTGCACACCCCCCACTGGGGATGTGCCCACAACCAATGTAAATGCCCTTGACCAGAATTGAGACCAATGCTCTACCACTGAGCCAAACCGATTTCAGCTACCAAACTATTTTTTTTTAAAGATGAAGGCTACCAGGAGTAGATCCTCCTCCCATTCCCTTTGTAAAGAACATAAATCTGACTATATGATGGCACACATGGCTTGTATTAGTAAGCCTATTGTTTGGCTTCATAAATTGTCTCATAGTTAAGTTGCACTTTGGCCCAGAGGCCCTTCAGTTTTTGTTGAGATAGTCAATTCCAGGCAAAGTGATATTCTGTGTTCTTAATAAAACTATGACCATTCTTAGTCACAACTGGTGGGCTGAGATATGTGTTTGCTAGAGCATTTTGATTCAGGTTGAAAGGGGATGGGTGGTGGTGGATAATCTATTAGGAGAAGGCTCCAATGTTAATGCATTCTTACTTTTGATTGATTGTAGCTCTGTACTTGGCTTCCTATGAGAGTGAAGGACCTGAAAATCATATAGAGAAAGACAGATGGAAGTCTTTAAGGTGGGTCTCATTGCTTCTTATTGCTGCACACATTTAAAAGAGATGTCCCCTTACCAGAAGAAAGCCGCATGCTTCTGCAGGAAGTCCCTGTCTGTGTGTCTTGCCTCCCGTTAAATGATTTTTTATGGCTTAAAATCCTCATTGCCATCCAGTTTTATTGTCTTTCTTTTTTTATACTGGTAGATGTGTTCGGTGTCTCTGTTTTTCTTTCTATCTCCCATTATTTTATGGAACGAGGAACTAAAATTACCCCTTGGTGTGGTAAAAAGAACAGTGACTCACTGTCTTTGTCTGAAAGATCTAAAAGATAAGAAGTTCAGACTATCTTTCTGAATTGTTGTTACACTATTTTATTAGACCTGAGATAAAAGAGACCTAAATGCCAGTTGGTTCAGTAAATTTGAGTATTAAAGTTTTTGCCATCTCCATTAATATATATTTATTTTAAGTGACTAGCAGTTCTCCCCCCAAAATAGGACTATAACACTTAATATTTTTTTCTTCCTTTTTTAAAACCTGTAAAAAAAAAAAACCCAAAACCAAACCCACACACAAACTTAAAACACAGGAAAAATGAAACGAGTGTTAGGCATGTCATTTAAATCCCATTTCAAATAATCCTGACGCTCTTGTTCTTACATTGTCTTCTTTGTTACTCAGGTCGAGCCTTTTAGGCAGAGTTTAACAAACGGGATGCTGGCTGCCGCTGTGTCACATCGTCATTGAGGGGCTGGCCTTCCTTGTGGGGCACCTGGGACTGCAAACAGTTAGGAAGTCCCTGCCAGCCTTGATTTGTAAGGGACCTTGAAGAACAGACTCTCAAGAGCAGACGGAGACCTCGTTCCCCAGAGCTGACAGACTGACTCGGATCTCGTGGGACTAAAATGTTCACTGAAGACACTCAGTAAAGAATCCTCTGAAGATCCCAGCTCTGCACATGACTCATCTCCTGGAATTTCCATGTGACTCACAGCTCTGCACCTGGATGGAGCTTCCTTTTGTGTGTGTTTTTATTATTGGTTGAACATTTGCTGCTAATGGGACTTGTCCAGCTGAGTGCTGGAACTTCGGAAGCCCATGTTTCTTTGTTAACTTAAATGGAGGAGGGAGAGGAAAAACCCCTCCCCTTCGATCCCAAACGTCAGCTCGGTGAATGGCCAGGAGAGGAAGACTGGTTGAAAGCTGGTTGTGGACTTCATTTCCCTTAGTGTATGCTGTGTTGTGAATTCCTCTCCTCCCTCTTCCGACAAGGTTTTGAGTTGGCTGCTGGTTAGCAAACTCCTTTTTACCCACATAAGTTATTTAATATAATAATGAAGCTCAACACTGTGGTAGGAAAATAGCCACTAGAAAAAAAGAAAAAGCAGAGTTTGTCATTGGACTGCTTAATGTTCTAGAAGGAGTTTTTGTTTCCTTTACCCCTTTGAGCTGCTTACAGCTGACCACTGTGTTGGACAGATGTATTTTTCAGTAGTTTTTTTGTTACTTAGTTTTCCATGACTCATATTTTTTTTTTCTCTTGTAAATTTAAATTATCTGACTTTAAGGGTCTTGGAAAACCCCAGGCCTAATTACAACTTAATTTTTTTAACAGACCTTTATTTTTCATTGCCTTTCGGAGGCCGTCGGTGACTAAACATGTGAACAAAGAATAAGTTGGAAAGGTTACCACCCCCGTGCCACCCCCACCCCCACTACAGCCGTGCACAAAGCAAATGAAAAACATCTTGCTGTGAACTCAAAGGTCAACTTAACTGTGAAAATCGTTCACCTTGTTAAACATCTCAGTAAGTCTGTAGTTTGCTCTGCAAAAAGGCATTGTACGTATTTACTCTAGGAGAAGCTGTAAGTAGTAAACCATGCTAACGAACAAAACAAAACATCGTGCTCAAAACAGAGATGTATTTGAAAGTTTTACTGACATGGTTTCAGAAAACAGAGCATGTGTGTGTGCTGCACGCCATCTCCGCAGACCTGCCGTGTCTCCAAGTTCTCCCTTTAGAATCATCAATATAGTTCACACTCTGCAGCTGGACTGGTGGTGTCTTTTCTTCTGCGGGTGGGTTGTTGGGTGGGAGTGGGCTGTCATTGCAGAAGGGCAGCACAAGGGACCGTCTAAAAATGCGTGTGTCCTTAGGAAGTGGCCTTTGGGAGTATGTGTGTGGACCCTGAATTGATGAAAACGAATCATAGTTAGCATTTAATAGTCATTACTTTGAGCTGAGGCCCGGGGCACTAAGTGTTTAGCATAGATCATCATCCCCACTTCGTAGGTGCGGAAACAGGCATATTAATGATTTGTTCAAGGCCACCAAGCTAATGAGAAGACTAGTGATTTAAACTAAGCCTCCTAATTCAAGAACCAAGCTTTCCACCCACTGCCAAGTCTTTGCAAACCTCAACATAACCTTCGAACTTGCAGATAATCTGTGAGTCTTCTTTTCGTGCAGATTTGGATTCTGTAGATCTGGAGTGGGGTCCAGGGAGTGCTGATGCTGCTGGTCCTAGAATTGGCTTAGAGTAGCAAGACACCCCCAAAAGCTGCCTCCTTTCCCCCTGCATTGCTTGTCCCTGAACTTTGTGGCCCTGTAGTTGTTGTAGTGACAACAGTGATGTTTAACTTGCAACCATCTACGTCAGGAGTCAGCAAGCAGTGGGCTACTGGCCAAATCTGCCCCTTTTCTACAGGCCACAAGGTAACAGTGGTTGAAAAAAAGAAAAAGAAAATACTGCATAATACATGAGAATTGTCTGAAGGTCAAATTTCAGTGTCCATAAATAAAGTTTTATTGGAACACCGCCACACTCATTTGTTTATGTGCTTTCTTGTGGCTGCGCTTGGCTACTGAGCCTTGTAGCTGAAGCAGAGACTGGATGCCCAGCCCTCAAAGGCTCAAATATTTACTCTCTGACCCTTTAAGGAAGTTTGCTGACTCTTGACCTAAGTGGTTCTTTTGAGCATTACAATAAGTCTGCAAAAATGCTATTAGGTCTCTATTATAGCATTAGATACGTAAATGTGACTATAGAAAAAATTTCCTAAAGTACTATTAGGCCTAAAACGTGATTCTGAGGCCATTAAATCAATGAGTTTCACAGGGTTCCCATTCACACACATAGCCTCGTGTGTGTGTGTGTGTTGTTTTTTTTTTGTTTTCTTTTAAATTTTTACTGATGTCAGAGAGGAAGGGAAAAGGAGAGAGATAGAAACACCAATGATGAGAGAGAATAATTGATCAACCACCTCCCACATGCTCCCCATGGGTATAAAGCCCACAACCTGGGTATGTGCCCTGACCATGAATTAAACCTGGACTTCCTGGTTCATAGGTTGACATTCAAACACTGAGCCATACCAGCCAGGAAAGCTTCTTGTTTTAATGTCCATATAAGCCAGAGATTTAGGCCATGCATTAACTTGTCTGCGAAAATCCTTTACTCCCATCCTCTTAGCACAGCATGAGGATTTGGATTCCCGGCGGGTAACCAGTGCATTTATAATTTGTGTAGCTGGCTGGAAGGCTGGGTAAACACGCATGAGCGGCAGCGGGCAGTGACAGTCGGGAGAATGTCAGATGTGTCCTGTCCAGGCACGCCAGGCATTGCAAAGCAGCGGGCTTTGAGTTGAGGTCCGAGGGAGCCTCTGAACAGGCTGGGTTCAGTAGAGAAGTGAGAGTGCACCTTTTACTCTTTGAAGTGTCCCTTGTTTAGCAGGACACGGGTACCCCAGAGGTGGCCTTTCATCGGACAAAGAACAAAGACAGTCATCAGAGATCGGTTGTCTTGCCTGGGTCTCTGAAGGTGTTGAGCTGTGCCTCTCTACCTGGCCTGCCGCTGGCACCCCTGTCCATTTTCCTCACTTCTCTCGTACTGCTAGCTCACTTTTACGTCTTAAACTGCTGTCATATGCTTCTGTGCATAGAATCTCAAGGAAGCACAGTCCCCATTGGAAGCTGAGTTGCTGAACTACACAGGAGTGTTGAACTGTAGATTGTTGACATTCTCTACCTTCTGCTTGGGTGCATTTTATTAACCCCGTGGCCTTTAGCAAAAGACAGTGCCTACCTCAGTTCCCAACACAATTTACTTATGAAGAAGGAACACTGGAATAGAAAGCAGGGTGAGGCAAACTTTCTTTTGGAGCTAAGGGTTCAAAGAGATTCCTTGATTGGGTTTATAGGGAAGATAAATGTGGTTAGGGACCTGGAAACTACTAGCCAAATGTATAAATCTTGAAGATATTCTGATGGCAATGCTATTAGCCTTACCTTAAAGCATTTTAAAAGGAAGAGCTTCTGTCAAACTTGGGCTTTTTGAGGTTTTTCTAAGAGGGTACTTTCTTTTTTTAAATATATTTTTATTGATTTCGGAGAGGAAGGTAGAGGGAGAGATAGAAACATCAATGATGAGAGAGAACCATTGATTGGCTGCCTCCTGCATGCCCCCTATTGGAGATGGAGCCCCCAACTTGGGCATGTGCCCTTGACTGGAATCAAACCCGGGACCCTTCAGGCTGATGCTCTATCCACTAAGCCAAACCAGCTGGGGTGGGGTGGGGGGAGTACTTTCTTGAAGATTCCAGCCAAAGTCTTGTTTTCTGACTACAGATGATCAGAAAATTGCCTCAAGTCCCTGCTTCATTAAACCAAGATCACATGACTGTTCGATGCTAACAAAATAGAAGTTGGGGGTTGTGGCTTATGTATCCAAACCTTATAGGTTAAGGACCATCATTGAAAACTAGCATATAAGGCTGGGGCATGGAAGACCACTGCCTTAATTCTGTGATAAGAATCCACTCCTCTTAAATAATGCTTTTTTTTTTTTTTAACTTAATGCAGTGAGGAAATTCCCAGATAGCCAATTCCTTTCTGAGTGCTGGCAGCCTCCCACAGACTTAAATCCCATTTGCCAGCCTGAAACCCTGCTTCCTTTCTCCAAGTGTCCATCTAATAAGAGAGGAAACATCCCAATGTGTGTGAGTGATAAACAGTATGAGGCAGCTGTCATAGAATATTGTTAACATACTTTAAGTTCAGTGTGCACGAAAGCCAACATTTTAGGACATTTGTAGAGATCACAATGTCGGGAACTAAAGAGGAAGTAGGGACTGATATTTCTCAGAACAAACAAGAGAATTCAGCAGGTACTCCTTGAAGGCTGCCAAACTAATGGGTTTTCTAGTGTGAAACAAAGTTTGCTTTCTTTCCCTTCTCCCACCTACGCTGCCCGGAGAAAATTGAAGTTATGGTGAAATCATCTTTCTCTGGGTGAATCATTGTGGGAAAGAAAGTTCAGCAGAATGTGTTGTCAATTTGGCTGAGACCTCCAGTGTGGCGGCCCGTGGGCAGTGTTAACTTTGTCACAGTGCAATTATGAGTCCTCCTAAGTGCAAGTGAGCCATGCGGGGAGTGAATGTGTGCTCACTAAGTATATAATGAATCCATGAGCCAGTCTGTTGCCAGTCTGGTTATTGGAGACACAGAGTTTTGGTTTATTTAGATTGAATAAATACCAAATGTTCCCCAAAGATATCTGGATTTAGGAAATTATGGATGGCACTATCCCCACAGATCAGCAAAGGAAATCAGAGGCCCCGGTTTTATATTGTTATTAATTAGGTTGGTTACACTCCCAATAATGATTAGTATTAGTGCTTTTTAGTTACATGTTTATTAGTACTGA